ACGAACGGAGTCGCGGAACGGATTAAGTTCGTTAACCGGGGTTCCACTGTACGTACTAAATAAACAAGATAATACAGTATAATTCGCCTATTTACTACAGAAGAAGAGTCTGATGACACTGTACTAATTTTAAGGACTAAAAATATGTTATATAGTAGTAGAATGTCTTTCAGCGATATTTTTACTTATGGTGGTAAAATTGTTGACATTATTTTTACATATTAAAAGTTTTACTATAGTACATCCAACAGGGCATATTTAATACAGCCCGTCTACTAAAGTGTGTGTCCACCGGTTAGGAATAGTACTGCCAGACAGTCTTCTGAATGTCTGACGGTGGGCCAGACATTCAGAAGACTGTCTGGCAATACTATTCCTAACCGGAGAAAAACAAGGCAACGAACTTTCGCGCTCTTTTTTACAAGTGTTGGCAACTAACTCCGGTTAGGAATAGTTTGCTAGACCGTCTTCTGAATATCTGGGGGCGGCCGCGCTCAACTTTTTGGTGACAAAAGAGTTAGGAAAACAGCACACCATTCAGTTGCAAATGGCATGGTTGAACTTCGTTGACTTAAAACTGCCATCAATGACCCTGAATTATATAAAACTGTATATATTCATTACAAAATGATTAAAGCAAAATACATTTTGAAATGACTATATTAAATGAATAAATACCGAATCGTTATATTTTCCAAAATCAAACCAACCTAGCTAAAATTGAATCACGTGTGTCTGCCTTCTGTCTGTATGTGTGTCCAGCAGTGGCGAATTTTTGCATAAGCGCAAGAGACGCGCGCCTGGAGCCTCATAAATCAAGGGGCCTCAAAATTCAGCCGTCAAAATTAAAAAATTACCGTATATTCCAGCGTATAAGACGACCCCCGACTTTTACAGTTAAAATACTGTAGAGGAGAAGGTGGTATTATGGAACCCCAATTACATTTTAGTGAATTGTAAACAAGGTATCATAACTAAATCCACATTTTTTGTGCAAAAAGTACTTGTAGCTATTAAACTAAATGTTCCTAATTGGATTTTTCGTTAGTGTAATTATAAGTATAGTTTTTGAAGGCTTTTGTACAAAAAGTCAGAAAGTAGACTTAGAGAAAATCGGGTGGTAATATGGAAGCTTACTGTATATTTTCAAAAAATGCTTTAATGTAGCCAAAAACAAATAGGAAAGTACAAATAATGTTAAATAATTACAAANAAGTAGACTTAGAGAAAATCGGGTGGTAATATGGAAGCTTACTGTATATTTTCAAAAAATGCTTTAATGTAGCCAAAAACAAATAGGAAAGTACAAATAATGTTAAATAATTACAAAATCATTTACTCCAATGTATTTTAACGCAAAAATGATTTAATATTTTAAAATTAGTCTATATGTAAAATGCACCATCTTACTCCACCTATCAGGTTTATTTTTATAGACTACAAGAAGGACAAATTAAAACGGTTAAACTATCGCTTTCTTCAATATTGGCACAAGAACAGTGTGTCCATTTATCACAACTGCTACATTTATTGTTATTTTTCAAATAAATAAACATAAAGTTTCAACTTACTTGTAGACTATTCACTTTACCAGACGATACTCTCACTTCGCGCATGCTCAGTTTCGCTATTTTGTAAACAGACGATACTTTTTTCATGAAAAAAATGTTTATTTCGATTGTTATCTTACATTTTATTTCTTGTTAAGATAGTATTTAAATTTAAAAAATGTTTTCATAAATAAAATAAAACGTAAAAACATTATTTTATGGTTTGAATTTGTTGGTAATACTGAACACCAGGGGAGTTGGGTTCCGTATTAAAAGCACCAATGGGGTCCATATTTCACGCATCT